GAACAGTAATGCCAACTTAAAGTTATTTAATTATATAATATTAATTATAACTTCGTGAAAATCTGAACTTTTAGTTCTTATTTATTTTGATAAATGGATTTTCATCAAGTAAAAGCCACCTCAGTTCAAAATGGTGGTCACATACAGCAGTATTTAAAAGAATTTATAGAATTTTTTACTTTAGTGTGTCTTGTCATTTTTAGTGTTTTTGATCTACTTTAAAAACTTAAATAATTGAAATTACATAAAAATTTCTAATTTTTGCCGATTTGTCAAAAACGAGTGGACTAACATATAACGAGACCCTAATTAACAAATAGATAGTGTTTTGTATATATGTCACTTGGAAAAAACTTGGCTACTAACCCTTCATTTTGTTTTGATATCTCTAAAAATAAAAACAGTTCCAGCCAATTAAAATGTTATCACAGAAATGTGTTTAACGATGTATAAAAATGAAAGTAACTTTTAAAAAATCGGAGATTTCCACGACTATAATGCACGTATCAAAAAAATGGACTATAGTTATCAGAAAGGTATTTCAGGAACACCATCGTTAAAGTTTACAATAAAGCAGTGGGGATGTAAATATTTTTAAATCCAAACTAAAATTTTTTATCCTAGAAATGAGTTTTTGTAATTTAAACGAATGTTTTACCTATTAAAGTTTGTCATCACATTTGTACCTAAATATTGACGAAAAGGATTATGAAAAACAATATTTAAAAAGATACTAGCTCATCTTCCTGGTTAAAAGATAACAAAGAAAAAACATCGTCGCTCTTAAGTGTTAAGACTTCCCTGTGCAGGTCGAGACACGAGAGTAAGTGTGAATGTGTATGGGTCAAAACTCCAGGCGCGTTCAGATCCAAGCGCGGCTCAGCGAATCAGATTGTGTCTGATTTTTAGAGCAAGTGGGAAGGCCAACTTTTTTCGCACCAATTTTTCGCACAGCAGCAGGGCCCACCAACTGGTGAACCTCGAGGTTTACCTGAATAGTGTGTGACCGCAATTCGTTGCTCGCGGACTTATCTGGACACACTTGCGCGCGGACTTGCCCGCATGTGTATAGCCCCCATTACACACCTTTCCATTTGTACCATAAAATGTGGTATTTAAACGCAAGGCAACAAACATACAATCGCCCGCGGCAGCAGTGCGCAAGTTTTAGTTACGTCTAATCGGTGCAGCATCGCCTTAATCGAAGCTTAATTAAAAGTTGAAAGTCGATTTAAGCAAAACTTTGGAAAGGATTGAAACTATGCGTTAGAGAAAATGGTGTACATTTTACGAATTGAAATAATTATGTTCAGATTTGCGAAAATAAATAAAATAAATAATTGTTTTAATAATATCTGGGTCATAAAGCTATATAAAATTAAAGGAAATAATTTTTTTGGGAGGGAGGGGTGGCATTTACACGAATAACCCTACAACGTTATCGGTATCAAACTGGCCCATAAGATTTTCAAAAAAACCGAACTCTATCTACATCGGACGCGCATTTCATCTCTCCGACATTTCATAGGATACCCGAAACCGTAGTAACTCAAATTTGGGGCGCTTAAGTTTATGGTGAATCAAAGGCTTTAGAGTAATCTAAAGATATAAGTTCTCCTGGTCCATTTGCACTTAGGGTTTCGAGGAATTGGCGGCAATTAGTCATACCGAACGAAACTGGAAAAAGATATCGTAACGCTTCTGTCCCCTCCGTCCTATTTATCAACATTAGATTGCCCCGCATCCTGATTTTGACAAATCGACTAGACGTTCTATTATCTGGGACATTTACCGCACCCCCTTAGTCTCCCATTCCGCGCGCGTAAGTGAATTTAGCACCACCAACCAGACCCCGGCTCGTCCCGGGCCCCCGGTGCGCGGCACTGATTGAAAACGAGTCGGGATTTAAGAAAGACGTCGGCAGCTGGCTCAATGGAAGCTTAGAGAGTTCCAGCCATATTCTTATACAGTGCGTCCCATTTTGATGAATATTAATGACGCTGCTTTCGTGACCCAAGGATGCCTTTTTATGAAATAAGTGCCAGAAAGGAAAATAGATTTTTTACATATGATCCAGTGGCGTAGTCAGTTTTGTTCCGAAACTCGCAAACTTTGATATACAAACTAAGCTTTTTATAATTTTATAAGTTTACCATAAGCTTTCCAAAAAACGTGTAACACATATGCCACAAATACAGATTTCCTAATAATGTGTTAGTAATTATGTTATTAGCAATGGATTATACTGAGTTATCAAATTCTTTATCTTCGATTGCATTTTCTGCATATTTTATTTGTTGTGCGTCCATCAAGTAAAAGCCACCTCAGTTCAATTTTTTTAGTGGATTTTCTTGATATCTGCGTTCCAATTCTTTCATATCTTGGTGGTACCTCTCACTTCGCGGCACCAGTCCAACTCTAAAAAGTGTAGTTTTATACTCATAATGCATCCTATTTCCCTGAATCTCTCAAACATGTTTTCTACAATGTCTTTGTAAGTTGGATTTTTGTCGTTGCCTAGAAAACCTTTTACAACATCGGTAAATGAAACCCCGACAACCTTTTCAGATTCGATCTTGGTATTCACAAAGTCTACTGGTATATAAAACTTGCTCCATCTTTATATTTAAAGCTTTAACGTACTGCTTCGACAGTCCTAATTTAATATGCAACGGTGGTAAGAAACTTTTTTTCGTTGATCGATAAGGCTATCGTGACCAGGGAGTTAATTTAACCCTTTTTAGCCGGGTTTTCTTTCATTCAATGTTGTTCTCTATTTCTACTGTCAAACTCAGACAAAAAAAAAGGGTCACGTCGTATATCGTGACTGCTGACCTAGTGACCACAAATCTTTTCTCGGCATTTTAAAAAGAAATTTAATTACATATATTGTTTTTCTATTAATTCAGTCTCTGAAACTTCAAAAATACGAAAAATACCGCTAACTAACCAAAACCTTAACTGGGCTGTGTTGTCATTGGCAGCACTGGGCATTGTTAGAAAAACTAAAATTTTACCGACTATGGTCACTATGCATTCATTGCTGCTACTTAGAACAAGTTTACTAATAGTTAAATTTAGGTGCCACATAGATATTAAAGTTTTAAGTCGGTGTAATATTTAGCACAACTGTGTAAACTATAAATAAAACTAACATTGCGTGGGCTTTCACGGCCGGCGTCATAATCTGTGTACATTTTCCGGGCTGTTAGGCCGTGGTCCATTAGTTTTGCTACCAAAGCTTTCAACGGCAGCCATCGTCAGTGCAACGTAGGTTGTAGCGCGATGACTGTATCGGCACTGTTGGCAGTTGTCGAAGTCGTTCTTGTTTCGAAGCGCTCGGACGGACGGCGGACTGAACGGTCGTTTGAGCGTCCGGCCCCCCTCCATGTTGTTAGTATAAGGTTTTGTTTGCGTTTTTTGCAGGACATCATGGCATATTTTGTTTACTTGTAACCCCCCTTCACGTTTGTTTAAATTGTTTTTGTGTTTGTGTATTTCAATTGCTTCTCGATGTAACCTTGCCAAAACTAACCAAAACTAACATTGCCTTTTAACTATAGGCTGCATCTAATTACTAATTGTCTCGTAGTATTATTGAATATTAATTATAGGATATTAAATACAAACTTTGATTTGCGCATTTTGAAAATTTTGTTCAATTTCAATGTCTCATTTTGTTAATCTCCATGGCTTTCAGTAAATTAAATTTTCTACTTTTTGTGGCTGTTTGTAAAATATCAAAATTGTCGTCAAAAATGTGTTTTTCTGTGTTTAAGTGAGTAGCATAATTAGAATCTAAACTATTGTTTTTAAACGCTCTTTTATGTTCGTTAATGCGTTTCTGGAACGATCTACCTGTGTGTCCAATATAAATTTTATTACATAATCCGTATTTCAACCTGTAGACACCTGATTTTTGAGATTTTGGACATTTAGTTTTATTGTTTTTAAAAAAAAATTCTATTGTGAAACCACATTTTGACAAATGTTTTGAAACTTTTTCACTGGATTCTCCTATGTATGTAATTGTTTTAAATTGTTCGTGTTCTGAATTAGGTTTCGGATAAATAGAGTTTACTGATATCTGGGTTTGTTTCTTATTTATAATTTTTTCGACGTTGTTCAGTGTTTGTTTGTTTATTGATATTACGTTCTTTGTTGCAATTTTCTGTTGAGAGTGGCGTATTAAGAAGTCTATGTATAGAAGAGTGAAATGAAGCCATTTTGTGTGTATAATGGTGATTTGAGCTGTTATGTATGACTGTGTCCGTGTGTGAAGGTTTATGGTAAATGGAAAAAATCTAATTTGTTTTGAGTTTTCGGAATAGCAATAGAGTTATCCTGTTCAATCTCGATAGTGAATTTGATACGATATGTACGATATCCTTTATGTAAAAGTTTTCTATGCTGGTATAGATACGTGGATGATGTTTTTGCTTGCTTTGTTGGAACGGACAGACATTTGAATTCTTTTTTAAATTACATGAACTCATTACCTAATCGTATAAAATTTATGATGGTCACAGCCTTCTAGACACAATTTTTAAAAATATTTAAAAAAATTGGAAAAAAGAAAAAAAGGCAAAAAATATGGGGTTGTGTGGTGTCCTTTGAAATTCGAAATTTATCATCGTTTCCGCTCATACCGAAAGTCCAACTATTGAATACATATCGTCAAAAAATTGGACATTCAGCCTATATTAACCCTTCCAAGTTTCAAATCGCTGTCCTAAGCCGTTTAAAAGTTATAGAGTGTTCCCATTATCTTGTGTCACCCGGTGTACGGGTAAATATCGCTCGGGTGCGGGAAACGTGCGAGTTTAAATCGGACGTCGGTGGAGAGCGTCGTCGACGTCGGGACGTCGAAAAACAGCGGATTTGACAGCCCGGAGAGAGACTCCGGGAGACGTGTGGGCGAAGAGAAGGAGTGGGAGGCAGCAGAGCTCCACGTGCGACGACGACGCCGACAGAGACGCATGCCCGGCCGACGTCAACAAAATCCCACGTCAGAAAGTTCGCGGCTCGCGTAGACTGCGGTTGGAATATACGCGACACCGACGACGAGACAGATCCGGTTCGCGAAAGTAGCGAGAATTTGTCGCGAATAAAGTGCAAGGAGTCGGATTCCTCGATGACCGGAACGACGGGTTTCGTGGCCAGTTAGAGCGTGAGTTTCCTGCCAGTATACGCAAATCCCTGAGACAAGTAATTCAGGGTTCGCACGGGTTTCGGGGAATTTGCAGTGAAAGTTTCACGGGGGTTATACGTATCTCACAAATCCTGGAAAAAAAATGTACTGTGGAATCCGATAACCTGGAAAACCTGAAAAAGCAGAGAAAGATCAGTAATTACGCAAGAAAATGGGGAATTTACAGGAAATTGTGATATCGGGGTGGGAAAAGTCATTTTCAAGTTTCACGGGGGTTCCCACGTATCTCATAAATCCTGGAAAGGCCTGTGAATTGAAAACGAGCCTCAAATAGCCGCGAATCGTGGGACATTTTTTAAACTTTCATTTGTTTCGGAGAGAAAAAGTTTTACTAGGGCTCCCACTAACCTGCACAATTTTGAAAAATTGTCACCAATAAAAGATTATGCAGCCAAATCTTCTAGGTGTTCTCGTTCAAGAATTTTTTTGGTTCCATAAACAGTTTTCCAGAAATGATCCTTTGCTTAAACCCTTGCAAACACCGTTGTTAATTTTTTAAAAATACTCCCCAACCCCCAATAGATTCCATTAAAGGACCAAACGCTATTTGTCTGCCAAATTTGAAGTCGATAGGTTCAAATTTCCGACAGTTCATAGCAACGTCCAAAAAACAGTCGAAAATCGAATAAAAAAGGTGGACGCCGAAGCTTGAACGCAGTTATTTTGATATATCTTATGCAGCCCGTAGATTATTAAAAAATATCAAATTTTGAAGCGTGTAGCTCAAACCGTTCGGAAGTTATCGTCGAAAAAGTCTGGAACAGAGAACGGAGAACGGAGAACGGACAGACAAAAAATAAAACCTTTTTTTTTTCGATGCTGATTCCATCTATACCAACGGCTACGCTGTACGATGCATCGTTATCGAGATCTCGAGTTTAGTGAGGAGCACGTATACTTTCGAAAAGAATCGATTTCATCGATTTTTCAAAAGTAACAAGATTGCTTTCGAAAAATCGTCAATGGGGCGGGGCGAGTTTGTATCGCGAAGCAACTTTTTATTTTAAAAAGAGCTTCGCGGTTTCTTGTGGGATGTATTGTTTTTCTATCGTGCTCCTGCGGACCACTATGGAACTTTCTCAAAGTCGATGCAATGTTATTGTGCATACACCCTGTATAACGCAGCGGTTTTTACGGCCAGACAAAAAATAAAAACGTTCGAAAAGAATCGATTTCATCGATTTCTTCGAAAGTAACAAGTCTGTACAATTTCAAGTCGTCAGTCAGTTAACAAAATTTAATAATTATTTGATCCATATAAATTATGAATAGTGAGAGTCCCAGGTGAGAACCCCGAGGAACGCCGGTAAGTAATTAGAAACGGTTTCGTCTGCCTTTGTAAATACGATTCATTACTGTGGATGCAAATATTCGGTTTGGGCTTTTATTTATTTATTTTTTCAGCGCAAACAGCGCAAAAGTTAATAACAACCTTACGGGAAGCGTTTCCGGTCAGCGGCGTTACGTAAATGGCTTTAAATAACCGTGTTATTTTGGCCGATACAACATCCTGCCATTAGATTAAAAATTAGCGTCTAATTCGCTGTTTTATTTCGATGGCCGGGACGGTACTAAAATTATCGATTTTTTGATACTTTCGGCGCATTAAAAGATATCTACTTAAAACTAAGAAAAATTAATTAAGTGGCGGGAAGTTTCCCTTGCTTTCTCATAAAAAACTTGTACGTACGGCCCTGTTGTTTTTTCAAATTCGATAGATATACAAGTACAAATAAAACCTACCTTTGCAATCTTCGATATCGTTAGCCATTTTTTAGATAATTGGCACTTCATCTTTCGATGTACCGGGTGTCTCCATTGTAAACAACAAAATGGATTTTTTTGTTGTTGTCGATCCTCGCAATTTAAATTAAGAGAACCGGACTATTTCAGATGGCGTTCAAAAATATAAAACCAAAATTTGATTTTTTCATTTTTTTGTTTTATTGTTACGCTCAGAAAAAAAAATGTTTTTTAAAATGAACAAGGAATCGCCTCTCAATAAATCAACTCTTTTATATATATATATATATATATATATATATATATATATATATATATATATATATATATATATATATATATATATATTTATAGACAAATTAATAACAAAATATTTTCAAACGTAGCTAAAATGTTATACAAAATTACATTACAAATTAGTGCAACCAAGAAGTGGTGACACCTAAAGATTCTTAATAATTTTCTTTCATTTTATTACTAAAATCTAAGTAAACGAAATTAGGTATTATTGAAAAAAAAATGTTGGTTTTATTATAAATATAATAATAATTTAATATAAGAAAGTCTGTTAGATTAATATCGCATATGCCAGAAACTCAAAAAAAGGACTTTCTGGTCTGAAGATAGCGTTAATAGAAAAAAAGGACTTTCCTTACAATTATTTTAAACATTCAAAAAATATTTTGTGGTGCTTATTTTGTTATCCGCCCGTTATAACTTGAACGGTTTCCTTTACAAATTAATATTATTCTGTACATATACCTTCTTATTGATTTGTTAAAAAGTACCATTTTTTTAATATTAATGCAATTGCGCATATTGTTTAATAAATGTCATTTTATATCACGAACACTACAAAAAGGAACTAGTAGATTATCTTACAATTTTTAAAAAAATATAGCACTCTGAAACAGTATAGATAGAACTTAGTTAGGACACATCGTCTTTGAAAGGTTGTGGTGAAGTTTATTTTGTGATGGACCGCTTGATATCTCCAATTCGGAAATTGTTAGAGAGAAGAGCAGATGTAAGGTGTTTTAATTCTGGGTTCCGGGTTTGTAAACAATGTTAAGTCTCATTTTTTTTCAAAGATACTTCCACAGTCTACTGTAATGCTTTTCATAAACCTTTTGGATTTCTCCTGCGTCTGTTTTTGTTGACTCGAACTGGCTAATGTTTCGCCAATCATCGTGTTGGCTTCTTCAGGACATGACTGAAACCTGTACCCGCTTTAATATTGTTTGAGGGGGCGTAGCTAAATGAGGGGCATGTGTTTACAGAAAACCTACGCACACAGACCGATACCTTAATGCATTGTCTCATCACCATCCGGCACAAAAATCATCGGTTATCATCTCTCTTATTTACAGAGCCGTAATACTATCTGAGCCCGAGTCACTGAATCCAGAAGTAAAATTGCTTCTCTTTTCTTCTTAATACGCCACTCCCGACAGAAAATTACAACAAATAACTTAATATCATTAAACAAATTGCACTGAACAACAGCTACAATCCGTCAATCATAGATAAAATTATAAATAAAAAACAAATCCAGACAACAGTAAACTGTATTTATCCAAAACCTAATACAGAACACGAACAATTTAAAACAATTACATACATAGGAGAACCTAGTGAAAAGGTTTCAAAACATTTGCTAAAATGTGGTTTAAAAATAGCTTTCAGAACTAACAACACAATAGGAAAATTTTTAAAAAACAATAAAACGAAATCTCCAAAATCTCAAAAATCAAATATTGGACAAACAGGCAGATCCTTCCTTTGAAAATAATAGTATATATATATATATATATATATATATATATATATATATATATATATATATATATATATATATATATATATATATATATATATATATATATATATATATATATATATATATAACGGATTTCTACGGTACGTGCCGCCTCTCCGTCCCCAGTTTCCATTTCTTTCTATCCAGACACATGTCTTCCTCTAGCCCTCTGGATGTCATAGCTTCATCTACCTCATTCCTCCAGCTTCTTCGAGGTCTTCCACGTTTTCTTTTCTCTACTGGTACCCACTCGAGTAGGCGTTTGGGCCATCTTGTATCGTCCATTCTTTTCGTATGTCCAAACCATATCAGCTATTTTTTCTCTATTTGTTCTATTATATTTGTGTTCATGTTCATGCTTTCCCTTATGGTGTCATTTCTTACTCTTTCCATTTTTGATTTTCTGCAGCTACGTCGTAAGAAGTCCATTTCCGTCGTCATCAATTTGTTTCTGTTCTTTTTTGTCATATCCCACGTTTCGGATCCGTATACTCTGGACGATGCTAGTGTATATCCGTTTTTTCGTTTCCTTTTTAATTGTTTTATCCCATAAGATCGAGTTCAACTCTCTTATAACCTTTTTACCTTTATTGGTTCTTTCCTTTATTTCATCGTCACTGCTGCCCTGCTTGTTAAGTGTAACTCCTAGATATTTACAAGTTTTTACACCTTTGAGTTTATGATTTTCTAATATTAGGTCTTCTTGATGTTCGTTCCCTACTATTATATATTCTGATTTTTCCCAATTTATTGTAAGGCCAGCAGCTTGATATTCATCTTTCAGTTTTCGTATCATATAGTTGAGATCGTCCTGGTCCTCTGCTATGACTATCTGATCGTCCGCAAAATATAAACTGTACTCCATTTCTCTAAAGCCTTGTCTAAGTATATCTTGAAAAGTGTAGGTGAGAGACAACAGCCCTGTCGTAAGCCTTTAGTGGTAAAGAATGCTTCAGTATAGTTTTGTTCAATATAGCTCCTTAAGTTATAGGGTATCTCTGCTTTTCCTAGGGTCATCCATAATTGCGACAATGGGATGCTATCGTACGCCTTTTCAAGGTCAATTAAGGCTATGTGCAATTCCCTATTTCTTTGTACTCTTTTTTCGCACGCTATTTTAATCGTAAAGATATTGTCCACAGTTGAGCGCCCTGTTCTAAAGCCTGCTTGTTCTTCTGGTTGTTTATCTTCTATAGCTTTCTCAACCAGATCTCGTATTATTTTTGAGTATATTCTACCTATTGTACATATCACTGCAATTCCGCGATAATTTTTAGGGTTGCTCTTGTCTCCTTTCTTGTGTATAGGCGTTATATAAGAATTTCGCCAATCTGTGGGCAACTCTTCACCATTTATGCATCTCTCAAAAAGTTTAGCCAAGACCTCGAACAGTTCA